TTTAGGATGGGGCTGCTGACTTAGCTCCACTGTCAGGTAAGATCACTCCCCGAGCTCTTCAGTCAGGCAGAGCTGCTGGCAGGTTACTACGATTACCTTTTATTGGGCTTGACTACAAGGTGTATTCCATGGCCTGGTAACACCACCGTTTGAGGTTTGTATTTGGACAGGGTTGTAGGCTGGATCCTCAGGTTAGGCAGAGTCACTACTTGGGATGGATGGGACCAGCTGCTATGCTAAGTAGAAATGCGCTGTTGAGGTTTGCCTCCTTGCCTAGATGGGGCCTTGGGGCGGTCTTTGAGGATGGGCCAAGAACTGTTTAAACTCCTAGATATGGCAGAAGTAGCCTCTACACTTTGCCAAAATGCACTGTGGTGGGCACCTTTCTCCCTGGGCAGCGCCTAGGCAGGGTGAGTTCGAGGCTGAGTTGAGTGCTGGTTAAACCCCTAGTTGTGGCAGAACTAGCCACTGCTCTTTGCCAAAATACACTGTGGCGGTCCATCACACCTTTCCAGGACAAGGTCTTCAAACGGACTTTGAGGCCATGCCAAGCACTGTTTAAACTCCTATGTGTGGCAGAACTATCCCCTGCTTTTTGCCAAATTCTGTGGTCCCTGGATGGGGCCTTGGGGCAGTGTCTAAGGCTGGGCCTGGAGGCTGGCTGTTTAGAGATTCGAGGCAGGCAGAACTCCCCACCAATTCTAGTAATAGCCAGCTCAGCTTTGCAAATGAGCTATGCTGTTGGCTGCTGTCGCTGATCAGGTGTCATTACTGGCAATTACAAAGAAGTAACACAAATATCTGTATACTGGTCACTGTGAGCTCTGTGTTCTTGCTTTGTTTCTACCTGACCCTAGGTAGTCTAGTCATGCCAATACCTCTTGTGTTCCCTATGAAGTGAGACTGAAGTGGGCTTCTTGGGAAGCATCTCAAAATGCTACGGAAGCTGGATGTTCACCTCTGGTTCTCTTTCCCCACTGTAGAAACTGTGATTCCTAAGGAATTCTCTCTTTGTGCCACTGTGCCAACTTGGGAGAGGGGGAGGAAGAGGGGTGACACAATCAGTGAGATCATTTCTTTCTTTCTTTCTTTCTTTTTTGAGATGGAGTTTCACTCTTGTTGCCTAAGATGGAGTGCAATGGCACGACCTTGGCTCACCTCAACCTCCGCTTCCGAGGTTCAAGCGATTCTCCTGTCTTAGCCTCCTGAGTAGCGGGGATTACAGGCGTATGCCACCACGCCCGGCTGATTTTTTTGTATTTTTAGTACAGACAGGGTTTCTCCATGTTGGTCAGGCTGGTGTCAAATCCTGACCTTGTGATTTGCCCGTCTTGGCCTCCCAAAGTGCTGGGATTACAGGCGTGAGCCACTATGCCCGGCGAGACCATTTCGTTTACCCTCTTGTGGTTTTTACTTGGTTCTGTCATTCACACAGGTGTATCAGGTTTATTTCCATGCTTTGAGGTTTTTGCAAAGATGTTCTTGTTTATGGATATTTGCCAGTTGAACTTTTGTGGAAGTTAGTGAAGCCTGAGATCTCCTATTGTGCCGGTTTGCCTGAGGTATGTTCTTTAGTGTCTTTCACTATTTCCCTCAGGAACTGACCTTCAGTTGCCCACAATGGCAACTAACTTAAAAACATAGTCTTTATTGGCTGCGTTCACTTTCATTCTCATTTCCTTATACCCCATCCGTGTTTCCTGGTATTGCCTTTCAGCAAAACAAACAATCAACCAAAACCATTTTTAAAAACCAAAACCTACACTCAAACACTTGGGCTGCTTATTGGAGAAATCCAAAATCAAGCCAGTGATTCTAATACATTTGGTCATTAAGTTTGCCTAATGGGAGCTAGAGACAGTTTCTTGACTTGCAGCTATCAAGTTGCAAAATGTTTTGTTCTATTTTTAATTTCTTTAACTTTTTTTTGAGACAAAGTCTTGTTCTGTCACCCAGGCTGGAGAGCAGCAGTGCGATCTCGGCTCACTGCAACCTCCACCTCACAGGTTCAAGCAATTCTCCTGCCTCAGCCTCCAGGGAGCTACATATAAAAGGTCAGAAGGACAGATTACTGCTACTATCAAGCCTAGACTTCTGGCCATCCTTTGCTATCCCAAATGGACCTCAGGGCCTCGTGCCACACATTATGTGTGTATGTGTATGCGTGCACGCACGTGGTCTTGAGTGCGTATCTCCTAAATTTCTCCATTGTGAAACATACATTCCGCTTTCTCCTTTCCCCATATATACACATGTTCCTAGAGTTCCTAAGGGCTGTAACTACCCCAGGCAAATTTTTCCAAGCCAATAGCAGCTGGCTCTCTCTAAGTGATTAGCTGAAAGTGAAACCAAGTGCAGGAAACTGTCATGATAAAGCAAGCTGTTCACAGTCCTCAGACCTTGAGGAGATAATGGTGGAGACTAGGAACAGAGCAGAATCCCAAGTTCTCTCTCAGAAGTCACTCTAAATCTATTTGATTATAAGTTTTTTTTTTTTTTTTTCTTTTTTTTTTTGAGACAGAATCTCACTTTGTCACCAGGCTTGAGTGCAATGGCTTGAACTCTGCTCACTGCAACCTCTGCCTCCCGGGTTCAAGGAATTCTCCTACCTCAGCCTCCCGAGTAGCTGGGATTACAGGTGCGTGCCACCACACCTGGCTAATTTTTGTGTGTGTGTTTTTTAGTAGAGACAGGGTTTCACCATGTTGGCCAGGCTGGTCTCAAACTCCTGACCTCAAGTAATCTACCTGCCTTGGCCTACCAAAATACTAGGATTACAGGTGTGAGCCACCATGCTGGGCAATTTCTTTAACTTTAAGAAAAAAAATATTCAGACCCTACTAGTAGTAGAGATTACAAATCCAGAAAGAAAAATATATACTGACATTAGGAGTTGTAAAAGAAAAACATGTGATCTAAATTTCCATCTGCCTTTTTTCTTTTAACTTGAATCTGGCTAAATTCATGGTACATTATTGTTAGTAAGCAAAATAGATGTTTTAATTGTTGCATTTCCTATATATATCATTAAGAATGAGAAAGCTGAAAGTAGCCCTAAGGAAAGAGAAAAGGATATTGTGTTTCAATGTGATAGGTGGTTTAAGATGGCCCTCAGATACTCCTATCTCTTAATATGTATGACCTTGAGTAACATGCTTCTAGTCAAAGACTGTCTCAATTTTGAGGAGATGTAATTTTGTCATTAGATTATAAGAGATTGTAGCCTTTGTCTTGCTATCAGACTTTCTCCTTTGCTAGCTTTGTGAGGCAACATGTCTTAGGAGACACATGTCTGAGGTGGACCTCTGGCTAATAGCCAGCAGTTAACTAAGATTCTCAGTCCAATAATCCAAAAAGAACTGAATCTTGGTTGGGTACAGTGGCTCATGCTTGTAATTCCAGCATTTTAGGAGGCTGAGGCAGGAGGATCACTTGAGGCCAGGAGTTCCAGACCAGCCTGGACAACATAGCCAGACCTTGTATCTATAAACAGTTTTAAAAATTAGCCAGGCATAGTGGTGCATGCCTGTAGTCCAAGTTACTCAGAAGCTGGGGTGACAGGATCACTTGAAATCTGAGGTTGAGGCTGCAGTGAGCTGTAGTCAAGCCACTGCACCCTACCCTTGGCAACAGAGTGAGACCTTGTCTAAAAATTAAAAAAAAAAAAATT